TTCTAACTGGCTTCTTTGTCCCACGACGGCATTCGCATGGGCAAACGCGCTGCCGGTGCGCTCCACAAGACGAAGCGCATGCAGAAAAGTCTCGTTGACATGCCGCACCATGGACAGACGCGCCGACTCGAAGACCCGACGCGCCGCCTCGAGACGGGCGTCGTCGCCAATTGCGTCGGAGGTGACCTCGTGTGCCATCGCCCAGTACGCGTAAAAGGCGGCGTTGAGGCGCTGGCGCGATGCAGCCGCGTCGCAGCCGAGGTCGTGCGTGAGGAGCGTCTCGAGCGGAGCGACAAACTCGGACGCGAGATTCGACGCAAACGCGCGCAGGGCGTCCATGGAGCGATCGCAGCGTTCGGTTAGCGGCGTCCACGCGCGCTTGGCCGACCCCGCGAGGTGTCGGAGGCACGTTGTCTCGTCGACCGGCGTCGTAAGCTCCGTGTACAAATCGTGCAGCGTCGCTAGGTGGCACTTGCTGGACGCGAGGACGGCTTTGGCCGCAGCCACCACGCGGTTAAAGTCGGTCATGACACGTGGCCACGCGGCGACGATGGCGGCGACCTCACGGCGAAACGCTGGCGAATCATGTGCATACTGTAGCAAGACGGGCGCTTCGCCGAGGAATGTATCCTCGTCGTCGTCGTTGTCGTCGTCCTGCGGGTCGTCTTCGGACGCTGTGGAGCTTGCGGATGACGCGTTGGGTGGTTCATCGGGTGGGCCAAACGCCCGGCCGCCGCTTGTAAAGCGTTGGAGCTGTCGCACGAGGTGCATGGCGGCCTCTGGCGCGACGCCACACTCAGTGCAGAGCTCCTCGATGGACGCAGCGCGTAGCTGCGTGATGCACTCGATGAGCGACGGCGCCGCGATGGTTTCTACGGCAGGATTGAATTCAAATGGGCAGTAGGAAGCAGCGATGTACTACGTGGTGGCAACGGGGCAGGACGAGGGGTGTCGTCCGACGACGAAAAGATCGACTTGACAAACGACTCGAACGGCGAGTCCGAGCTGCGGCCCTTAGTACTGTTGTTGCCGCTCACGTCGTTGGTCCTGAGCGGTGCGGTGCCAAGGCGCATGCACTTGGTGGCCGCGTGGAAGGTTGCGACGCTGTGCAGCGACGCGCTGAGGTCGAGCACTAGAAATGCCATGCATTGTGTCGCTCGACTGCAAAAGTATCAAGAACGTACTTGTGCCCGAGTACATGTCGTAGAGGCCCGAGACAGCCAGAGCGGGCGTGTCGTGGTTGATGCGGGCGTACTGATACAGGGCTTCGTGCAGCACCGCGGCCACCGACTTGGATGTCGCGACATTGGGCAGCACGATTGTGTGCTTGGCGTCGCGGCTCAAGTGGACTCTACATGCAACTCATGAGCCACTTGCAGCTTCTGAGTAGCGTCGTCGCCTACATGATGTTGGCGCTGCGGTCCATTCGTCGATCGCTGGCCACGTTGAAGCGGCGCCAAGCGGTATCTTTCAGCTGGCTTCTGATTGGCTACGCTGCGATCCCACAAACACGCGTCCTGCAAGATTATTATGTATATCCAAAAGAGTTAACAATTTTCTCTAAACAAATATTAATAGCGTAATTTAGTGCAGTGTGACATGAGCGGGGGTATAGCGCAGTGGTAGCGCGTCCGCTTTGCATGCGGAAGGCCCCGGGTTCGACCCCCGGTTCCTCCAGTCTTTTTTACGGCAATTTGGATTGGTTGGGTGCAATCAGCCCACTCTTGCAATGTTTTTGCGCCACACAGCTCGGCAACTGCGCCAGGCCGCGCGCTCGGCGGCGACGTCGTGCCCGAGCCTCGTTGCGCGGCCGTGGTCGATGCAACCCCGTGTTAGTATGCGTTGCATGTCGTCGTCGTCTTCGGCGCCGGCACCCGAAGAGCCCACGAACCCGCTGGCCAAGGCCTTTGAGGACAAGGAGCGCTTCTTCGATTGGGACCTCGTCGACATCTTCGCCCAAGATGTCTCGCTGCTCGGGAAGATGGCCATGTTTGTGCAGCTGCACGCTGCCGTGCCCCACGCCAAGACGCCGTTGGACGTGCCGGACTTTATGGACGGTGCCAAGAGCGCGATCGAGATGATTCTCCGCACCGTGTACACGCCCGCCTTTTTTGCTGCGGCACTGGACCCCGCGGTTGAAAACGACGAAGTGAATCTTCTGCGCTCCGTGA